CATCTTAAAAAAAATAAGTAAATATAAAATTGACTCTTACTTCTCTCCCTTTCATTTCTCAATTTCGATGAGTAAACTATAAAGGTATTTTCTTCTTTACTCTTTGCAGAAGGAGAAGCGTCTCTTTGGATGTGAAAAGCCCATTGGTAAGAAGTATATTCTTGGGCTTGGGCTGTTGGTAGAATTGGGTTCTTTTTAGGGTTTGGGTTGAATTAAATTTAGTGAAAATTTAGAATTATAATTTAGAATTAAAAAAAAAATATTATAATAAATTATAAATCATAATTATAATCATAATAAACTTAAAAATTATTTAATTAAAAAATTTATATTCTGATTTAAATCATAATTATGATTTATTATAATATTTTTTTTATAAAAAATATATAAATTAAAAATAATTTTAATATTATGATTTCTATCAACTAAACTCACGCGAGAATCTGATCCAAATTTCCATATTCCAATTAGCGGTTATAGATCTCGTTCTCTTCTTCTTTCATTACAACTACACAGTCTTCTTCTTCTTCTTCTTCCTCTTCTTCCCAGTTCTTGATCTTTCTTTTTGTTTTCTATTTTTTGATTTGAAATTACATAATTCGAACTTCGTTTGAAACCTTTCTTTCTTCTATTTCCGTAGGACAAGATTTTCCCATGTTTACGTGAACAAAACCCACAAATTTCCGTGTTTATGTACTGATTTCCAAAGCAACCAACCAAGCCAATCTTGGTTCCTCACGACATGCCTGCTATGAAGAAGGTAAAATGAAAAAAAAAAAAAATTTTAATTCTTGTTTATTCTTGTGAATTTTGATATTTGGGTTATCAGAATTTAGAAGGACGTCACATTGAGAGTGTATTCAACAAGTTGATAAAGGGCATAGAAAACCCAGTTGATTTTGAACTTCCAGATTGGTTCAATAAGTCAAGACCAACCATGCCCTACACTTTCATTAAGCGCAGTATCCTTTTTCACTCTCATTTCTATATATTTTGTCAAATTTATAAACTTTCTGTTTATTTGAACAATGCCCATTTTTTTCTGTCCTTTTTGTTTTCTTTTTGACAAAAAATTTAAGATATATATCTGACCAAGAAGATTAAAAAACGACTGGAAGATGATGGCATATTCTGCTCCTGTACTGGATCCTCTGGCGTTTGTGGTAGAGACTGCCATTGTGGGTAAGCTTTATTTTTCTTGCTTCTTATTTCTCTTATCTATCCTTTTGCTTGTGTTGATACTTGGGACTTTTTTTTTTTTTTTTCTCAATTTTCATACATAAATAAGCATTGCCATTGTGTCTCTTATCTTATCTTTTAAGGATTTAGGAGCAGAGAATTTGTATAAGAACACAGAAATAAAGAAGTGAGAAGATAATTAAGGCTCTTTTATGTTTTCCACTTTACTAAAGCTTTGTGTGGTATATGGGATAGGGGTGGGACTTGGGAGTATTAGGCTCCATTCGTTTCACTAGTTCAAACACAACTCAAATTTTTGCTATAATGTTTTCTCTTATAAAACTTCAAATTTAACTTTTTCCATACATGAATTCACTTTTTAATTCAAGTTCTCAACTCGAACGAGCGAAACGAACGAGACCTTAGTGTTGGGTTTTGGGACTTATGGTTGTTTTGTGGGAAACAAATACAGGAGGGAATGACTTGGGTGAGAGATTCGAAATCCTTCACTAGACTCCAATTTGATCCTTCTAATATTAAAAAGATTGAAGGCAGGAATTCATACCGAACTTAATAAGAGAAAGGTGTTCCCTTTCATCTGGGCTAGATACCTCTCATTCCTTTCTATTTTCTTTCCTTCTTATCAAACGCAACGTAAGAGATTGGTTTACTCTGTTTTAGATGTATGTTTTTGGGTTCTTGCTTGTTCTCCTACGTGATATTTCTTTTTTTTTTTTTTTTTCTGAATTTCGAGAGTTTATTTTTTGCACACAAAATTAAAAAAAAAAATTTGAAAATAGAGGAAGAGAACTAGGTGGCCTATTCTTGAAATTAAAAATAATAAAGAATCAAGGATAGCCATTTTCTTTATTTGATCGGTAAATATAAGATTTCCATCTATGGTTAATTGCGTTGTCCGTTATGCACTGTGCAGAATGCTTTTGTCTAGCTGCTCGTCAGGTTGTAAATGTGGAGATTCTTGCCTCAACAAAGCATTTCAACAGCGACCCGTGAAGAAAATGAAACTTGTGCAGGTATAAGCATGTGAGATGCCTTTGAAGTCCTACGTTAATGTTCAAAATATTCATCTATACTCTATAGTTTTTGGTAAATGAGGAAGCTATTGTAAGGACAATGGAAGCCAAATACTTTTAAGGTGTAGAGGCAAGTTTAAAGTTGACTTAATTAAAATTTTATAGGTTGTCTGGTTGTGTCTACCTTATCTTGAAACTAATGTTGAGGAGGTTGTTCCCTTTTGAGCGGCTTCGATGCTTTTGAAGAAGATTTCCTTCTTTTACCCCTTTTTTTTTTCATTTCTTTTAATACTAATTTCTAACTATTAATACTGCTACATTTCTATTGTGTTTATCATCATTGGGTTACATAGTCAAACTTGATTCAGTTATTGCTATCTATCTCAATTCCTACCTAAGAAAAAATACTTAGTAGCTGGATGTACAAATTAATGAGACAAGGATTTTGCTTATTTTTTATAATGAGGCCAAAAGATTGTGTATTTTAAATTTAGAGGAGTGTTTGTGCAGCTAGTAGCTCATTCTTTGAGATAAGCATCCAATTACTGTCATGATTAAAGTCAGAAGTTAACTGAATCTGTGTTTTGCTTTAACAATTTCCCTTTTTTGAGGTTAAAAACACCTTATATATTCTTTTGCTTAATTGTCCTATAGTTCTTATTAAACTGTTCACGTCATATTAAGTCCAAGGTGTTGCTTGTAGACCCCGAAATGTGGTTTTGGAATTTTGGCAGATGAAGATATCAAGCAAGGAGAGTTTGTAATAGAATATGTTGGAGAAGGTGACACCTCAGAGGCTTTGCTCTTTTCCTCAATTGAAGTGTGTTTAACTGTTTAGTTAATGAGTCATTAACCCATGCTTGTTCCTTTTCTACGCAGTTATTGATGACAAAACATGTGAAGAAAGACTTTGGAGTATGAAACACCATGGAGAAACAAACTTCTACCTGGGTGAAATCAACCGCGATATGGTTATTGATGCAACGTACAAGGGAAACAAGTCAAGATATATAAATCACAGCTGTTGTCCCAATACCGAGATGCAAAAATGGTCCTATATTGACCCCCTAATATATGATTTCAGAACCAATAAATTATGTATCTTATACCTTTCATTCTATTTTTTTTAAAGGATAATTGATGGTGAAACAAAGATTGGCATATTTGCGACTCGTGACATTTCAAAGGGCGAGCATCTAACCTATGATTATCAGTATGCACACTTGTAACATTTTATTTCTATTTTATTCCTTACTCCGTAAAAAAGCTTTTCTTTAGATATTCTATTTGGGCGAACCAGTTCTCACAATATGTGCTAAGAATAGAAGATTTTGAAGTTTTATATTTCTTAGTTCTGTCTAATAAATTATGTAGGTTTGTGCAGTTTGGTGCAGATCAAGATTGCCATTGCGGTGCTGAAGGCTGCAGGAGAAAACTTGGTGTGAGGCCAACGAAAACCAAGATATCATCAGATGCTGCATTGAAGCTAGTAGCATACCAGGTTGCTTTGTCTAGAAAAGATGTATGTACTGTTTGTTCCTGTGGTTTTTCCATACTTCTTGAAGTAGTTGATGAAAATGGCATGTATTGCATAAATTTCGTGGTTTGCATTAGATACCTATGTAATAAATTTCCCTTCCCTTTTGTAAATTTAAAGAAACAAAAGGGAAGGGAAATCGTGATAAATTTCTGTTTTGGAAACATCCTTCTAGAAAATGTCCTTAAGGTGGCAATACCGAACCATATGGAACAGTCTGCATTATCATTTTAGCAAGGGAGCCCCTGTTTCTAAATCATTTTCCAGTGTAGATAATATATTACTTTTGCATTGTTAACGTAATACGCTTGTTGTATTCTGCCCTTGTTATTTTGGGTCTCTCATTGACTTTTTTGTTTTATTTTTTTATGTATTTATTGTTTTTTGAACAGGCATACCAGAAGGGAGATTTGCATATAGGTAAAGTCAGGTTACTGACCCTTGATCAAATATTACAAAGCTTTCTATCAAACACTGCATGTCCGTGCACACACAGTAAGGTTTTTCCTTGTTAGTCATTGATCTTATTATCTCTCTCAGGGAGCTCTCAACATGGACGTAACAAAAAAACTTTTGTGTCTAACTGTGTTGGTCAATTCGTTATGATAAGCCGCCCACATGTTAGGTATTCTCTCTCCGGAATGTCTCTCATATCTTTTAAATATGCCCTCATGTTCATTGTAAAGTTTCTCAAGCCATGTTCCAAATATAACTTGTCATTTTTCTTGCCTTTTAAGATTTTTGGCCGCATCCCTTTTTTTCATTTATTGTAACAAAAATATGTAGAATATCAATATAAGGTGGTCACTTTTGTGTGTGTGTGTGTGTGTGTGTGTGTGTGTGTGTGTGTGTGTGTGTGTGTGTGTGTGTGTGTGTGTGTGTGTGTGTGTGTGTGTGTGTGTGTGTGTGTGTGTGTGTGTGTGTGTGTGTGTGTGTGTGTGTGTGTGTGTGTGTGTGTGTGTGTGTGTGTGTGTGTGTGTGTGTGTGTGTGGGCATTACACTTAAATTGATGCATGTTTCTTCTCTATGTATGAAATGATCCAGGTCCTTTGGGATTATTAAACGATTTGATAAGTATTCCAGAAAACACAGGGTAAGAGATTTCTTTGTTAATTTTAAGATGATCGTTTCTATCAATTTCTTGGCATGGTTGCCATGGTTCTTGTCTCAGCACTCAAAAAGGGTGGGGGGACAAAAAAAAAAAAAAAGAATTCATCATTTTCTTCTTGTTGCAGATTTTGTTTGATAAAGGACATAGTGAATTTCTTGAAATGTCAAAGGAGGATTGGATACCTATACCACAATGACATAATTGCGAGGTAAGAAAATGAATTGACATTTGAAGAAAACTGTGAAGGGCTTCGAAATGAGCAGTAGAATTTTTAGATTCTCTTTAAAATTGTTGCGTTCTATTTGGAGTAGTAGGTGATAGATTTCTAATAAAAGGCTCAAAGGATTACACGAATAAATGAGTGAAAATAGGTTTGCAATCTCATTATATTCTAAGGATTAATACAATAGTATATATATACAAGAAGGTTCCAATGGTAACAAAAGATAGTTTAGGAAAGAGAGAATGTGATTTCTCTGGAGTAGAAATCATTCTTTGATCAGTGGAGAATTAAGAGGAAATCCTTGATAATTTGAATCCACGTGACATAGCATGACACTCTGCCATATTTGTTTCTAACGGATAGTTATTTTCCAACAGCTCTCCATGATTCTTGGTTGAGTCAACTATTGTGACGTGGCATTGATTATTTGTCTTATTAGCCTCCCTCAAGCTTGGCAGGGAGATGCAATGAACACCAAGCTTGAAACGAAAATCTTCAAATGTCGCACGTGGAAGTGCCTTAGTAAGAACATCAACAATTTGCTTGGATGTGGATATATGGCAAACTTTGAGAGCGCCGTGTATGATTTTTTCTCGAATGAAGTGATAGTCAAGCTCAATATGCTTAGTTCTAGCATGAAATACTAGGTTGTGTATCATGTGAATAGCACTCTTATTGTCACAAAATAGAAGAGGTTGTCATTTAAGAGTGATATTAAGATCACGAAGAAGATATTGAAGCCAAGTAATTTCAGCAGCAGTTGTGGCCAAGGACCTGTACTCTGCTTCAGTGCTCGAGCGAGAAACAATTGGTTGTTTCTTGGATGTCCAAGACACACAGTTTGAGCCGAGATAAATGCAATAGGCAGTAGTGCTCCGTCGAGTGATTGGACAACCGGCCCAATCTGCATCACAAAAAGCATTAAGAGTGAGAGAACTTTGAGATAAATACCTAAGACCATGTGTCAGTGTGCCTTTAATATAACGTAGAATGCGTTTGACAGCTTGCAAGTCCGTTTTAGTAGGAGTTTGTAAATGTTGACACGCAAGGTTAACAGCATGGGTAAGGTCTGGACAGGTGAAGGTGAGATATTGGAGAGAACCACATAGTTGACGATATTCTATGGGGTCTGTAGGGTCATTGTCATCTGGAATAGGATTTGGCTTGTGAGCAATGGGTGTGTTTATTTTGGAGACATCAAGCATTTGGGCTTTGGCTAGAAGGTCCCATGCATATTTAGTTTGAGAAAGGGTGAGGCCACCAGAAAAATATTTTACTTCAAGTCCAAGAAAATAATGTAGTCGGCCGAGGTCTTTAAGCGCGAATTCTTTATTGAGTCGTTGGGTTAGACGAGAGATTAAGGAAATAGCATTGCCGGTGATGATAACATCATCTACATATACAAGCAAAAGAATAATGTAAGTACCATGATTATATATGAATAAAGAAGAATCAGCTTTACTACATATAAAACCAAGTGAAAATAAACAAGTACAAAGTCTAGCGAACCAAGCACGAGGTGCTTGCTTAAGACCATATAGAGACTTATGGAGAAGGCAGACATGATTAGAAAATTGTGGATCTAAAAAGCCAGGAGGTTGTTCCATGTACACACGCTCACGGAGGAGGCCGTTAAGGAATGCATTCTTAACATCCAATTGCTTTAAAGGCCACTTGAAATGGACCGCAAGTGAGATGATGACACGAATAGTTGTGGCTTTAACAACTGGACTAAAGGTTTCACCAAAATCAAGGCCTGGAATTTGTGTGTATCCCTTGGCAACAAGTCTTGCTTTAAACCGATCAATGCTTCCATCTTCTCAAAATTTGGTGCGATAAACCCATTTTGACCCAATGACATTAGCACTAGTAGGACGTGGGACAAGGGTCCATGTTTTGTTTTGTTGAAGGGTAGCAAGTTCTTCCTTCATAGCTTCTATCCAATTGGAAAACTTGAGAGTTGTTTTTAAAGTTTTTGGTTCAGTAGTGGAAACAAGAAAAGCAGTATTGGGATTGGAAGAAGAAGTAATAGAGGGACAGACATAGTCTTGTAAGTAAGCGGGTGGGCGTTTTTCACGAGTAGGACGTTGATGAGGAGGAGAAATGGGAATGTCTATAACTTGTGGCATTAAATCTGAGTGGATGATTCTGAGATAGTTGATGTGGGATTGGACATGATATTAGAGGATGAATTAATTGGCTCTAGGAAGGTGCGTGCAAGAGTGGTATTTGGTATGTTGAAATTCGTAGAAGATGCTAAATTTGGTTGATTGGTGTCTAAACGAGAAGGTGGGTCATTGATTTCATGATTTTGAGGAGCAATGTTTTTGGGAATAGCACGGTCAGGATTTGGTTGTATGGGAAGAAGAATATGAGGTATAGGATTTTGGTTTGCAAAAGTTGTAGTAGTAGAAATTTTTGGTGTGGCTTGACATTTAGTGGGTAGGCTGGACATTGACCCGTTGCATGTTTTGCTGGAACCCATTCATCAAAATTAGGAAAAGAGGTGAGAGTTAAATCATGAGTAGATGTTGGCATAGACTTGTGGTTTGAAGGAAAATGACTTTCATTAATTACAACATGACGTGATATGTAAATACGATGAGTGTGTGGATCAAGACATCTATAACCTTTGTGTAGAGGACTATAACCTAAGAATACACATGGCGTAGTTTTTTTTGAAAATTTATGCAGGCCAAGGGTTTTTAAATATGGAAAACATTGACAACCAAAAATACGTATTCCTGAATAATCAGGATTCTTACCAAAAAGTTTAAAATAAGGAGTTTCCTTACCAATAGAGGAGAGAGGTAAGCGATTAATAAGATACACAGCAGTTAGAAAAGCATCTACCCAAAATTTTAAATGAAGGTGTGCATGAAAGAGCAATGTTAAGCCTGTTTCAACGATGTGCCTATGCTTTCGTTCAGCGAGACCATTTTGTTCAGGTGTGTTCGGGCATGAAATTTGTTGTGCAATGCCACATTGAGCCAAATGATTTTTGAAGTCGTGTGATGTAAATTCTCCTCCTCCATCGCTTTGAAAATGCTTTATTTTCCTGTCAAAATGCTTCTCAACAAAAACTTGAAATTTTAAAAAACAATCATAAAAATCATATTTATTTTTCAAAGGATATAACCAAGTATAACGAGTGAAATCATCAATAAATATCACATAATATTGAAATTTTTGGGAAGAAAATATTGGGGCAGGTCCCTATAAATCACTATGGATCTTTTCTAGAGGAAATTGAGAAATTGATTCAGATTTGTTAAAAGAAAGTTTACATCGCTTTCCTAATTGGCAACTAGTACATAAAGTATTCTTAGTCAACCAATTGGAAACATAAATAACTTTATTCTTTTCTAGAGTTTGCAGAAACTTTAAATTTGGATGCCCCATTCGAGCATGCCATATCTCTGAAGATGCTCCTTGAGATTTGACTGCAGCAAGAGCTTCAAGATTTGCTTCCTCGAGGTGTCCTCTCTCAAGTGCATACAAGTTTCCTTTTCTACACCCCTTGGCCAAAATTTGCTGATTCTAATCCTTAATAGCAAAACCATTAGAATTAAATTCAAAAGAACAAGAATTGTCATCAATAAGTTGACTAAATGACAATAAATTCTTTTTAAGTTCTGGCACGACTAAAACATCATTTAGCTTAAGATTGCCTTGTGAAGTCTGAAGCAAGGTATTACCTGTATGAGTGATTGGTAAAGACTGTCCATTTCCAACAAAGATTGAATCTTTACCAAAATAAGGTTTTAAAGATTTGAGGTTACCTCCTTTATTTGTCATGTGAGCCGTTGCACCCGAGTCGGCATAAAAATTTTGGTCACCTTCACTATTTAAGTCCATAGTTGCCAAAGCTTGCTGAGTTTTTGTCTCTTCAGGAACATAATCATACCTATAGTAGCATTTGATTACAGTGTGATTTGTTCGTCCACAGATTGGGCAAGCTTCCTTCTTGTGAGTTGGCTTGCTTGGTCCTTCTCCTTTCCAATTATTAGTGTTATTGAATTTTAACTGAGGTTGGAAATTTGAGGATTGATTATTGTTGTTGTTGGGCCGATTCTGAGAAAAGGAGTTCCAGCTTCTTCCTCTAGATTGGCCTCTTCCTCCTTGTTGATCTCTTCCTCTTCCTCTTTGGCCAAGAAATGCTTGATTGTGATCAAGTTGTTGCTTTTCGTCCACAAGATAAACCTGTTCATGATTCTGTAATGACATTACAAATTGGTTAAATGATGGATATGGAGGTTTCGATAATACAGCAACTTTAAAATCCTTGTATTTTGGGCCAAGCCCTTTTGAGATTTGGAAAACTTTATCGATATCGGAAAGAGGCTTTCCGATTGCTGCCAGTTTGTCACAAATACTCTTGAAATTTCGGATGTACTCGCCAAGGGACAGTGACCCTTTGGTTAAGGCATATAAGCCAATTTTAAGTTGAGATTCATTCTCGTCGGTGTTGGGCAACATTTGTTCTTGGAGAGAGTTCCAAACTTCATATGCTGTATCCCCACCGAAAATCATGCTAAGCACATCTTCCGTCATGTTTCCGAGAAGCCAGGATGTAAGAAGACCATCATTGTTGATCCAAGCATCAAAATTTGGATTTGTGATTTTCTTACCCTCTGAATCAACGAGTTCATCAGTTGGTTTTTGTGGATCATTGATGTGGTGTTCTATTCCAAGGCTACGAATCAGGGGAAGAATTTGAGATTTTCAAAGAAGAAAATTGGAGGTAGTCAACTTAATGGAGACTAGGCTAGAGCACTGGTGAAAGAGTTGAATAGAAAGCTTTGGCTCTTCAAAAGATGACATTTTAGAGCTTGATGAAACCTGCTCTGATACCATGATAGATTTCTAATAAAAGGCTTGAAGGATTACACAAATAAATGAGTGAAAATAGGTTTGCAATCTCATTATATTCTAAGGATTAATAAAATAGTATATATATACAAGAAGGTTCCAACGGTAACAAAAGATAGTTTAGGAAAGAGAGAATATGATTTCTCTGGAGTAGAAATCATTCCTTGATCAGTGGAGAATTAAGAGGAAATCCTTGATAATTTGAATCCACGTGACAGAGCATGACACTCTGCCATATTTGTTTCTAACGGATAGTTATTTTCCAATAGCTCTCCATGATTCTTGGTTGAGTCAACTATTGTGACTTGGCATTGATTTTTTGTCTTATTAGTAAGGGCAGTGGTCGGCCGAGTAATTGAGAATTTTAAAATGATTTAAGTGGTTTGAACTACAAAATTTAATTAAAAAATTATGCCTCCTAAGTTTGCATTAGATACCCGTCATGTGGAACAGTCTGCATTATCATTTTTGCAAGGGAGCCCCTGTTTTTAAATCATTTTGCAGTGTTGATAATATATTACTTTTGCATTATCACCGTAATATGCTTGTTGTATTCTGCCCTTGTTATTTTGGGTCTCTCATTGTCTTTTATTTATTTATTTATTTATGTATTTATTGTATTTTTGAACAGGCATACCAGGGAGCTCTCAACATGGACGTGACAAAAAAACTTTTGTGTCTAACTGTGTTGGTCAATTCGTTATGATAAGCCGCCCACATGTTAGGTATTCTCTCTCCGGAATGTCTCTCATATCTTCTAAATACGCCCTCATGTTCATTGTAAAGTTTCTCAAGCCATGTTCCAAATATAACTTGTCATTTTTCTTGCCTTTTAAGATTTTTGACCGCATTCTTTTTTTGCATTTATCTATTTATTTTTTTGGGCATTACACTTAAATTGATGCATGTTTCTTCTCTATGTATGAAATGATCCAGGTCCTTTGGGATTACTAAACGGTTTGATAAGTATTCCAGAAAACACAGGGTACGAGATTTCATTGTTAATTTTAAGATGATCATTTCTATCAATTTCTTGGCATGGTTGCCATGGTTCTTGTCTCGGCACTCAAACAGGGAGGGGGAGAAAAAAAAACAAAAAAAAAGAACAAGAAGAAGAAGAATTTCTTGACATGTCAAAGGAGGATTGGATACCTATACCAAAATGACATAATTGCGAGGTAAGAAAATGAATTGACATTTGAAGAAAACTGTGAAGGGCTTCGAAATGAGCAGTAGAATTTTTAGATTCTCTTTAAAATTGTTGCGTTCTGTTTTGAACGATAAAATTTAATTAAAAATTCTGCCTCCTAATTTTTTAACTGGTCACAAACTAGAATGTTCACAATCTCGCCTTCTATATTTCCGGCGAAAAAAGAATTGTTCTCGTGAATGTATCTGTCATTCTATTTTTGTAGGATGGGCAGTCGAATTCGGCGACTATTGATTTAGGGTTCTTGTCTCTTTTGTTACATAAAGTTAGACATTAATTGTTGTAAGGAGTGTTGTAAGAATGTTACGATAGCATCAATTGTACACTGTTAGGCAGTGCATTTTGTATTAATTGCATAGTGTTCACAAGAATGCTATGCTAGTATTCAGTTGGTTGTATTTCTTTTGTTTGTTGTCGTTTCTTTCAATCCCTTTTTAATCTTCTTTTTTTAATCTTCTTATTTCTTTTGTTTGGACCTCATATGGAATTTGTTGGATTTTTGTAGTTCTTAAGGAGAATGATCTCTTTGGAAATTTGGAGTAATTTGATTTTTTTGATTAGTGATTGCTGGCTTGTTTTGTATTTAGAACATTCTACGATGTGGAATTAATAGAACATTTCAGTATTGAATTTTTGTAATCCTTAAGAATTTGGAGATCTAATATGGACGAATCAATTTTTTATGCTTCTTACATATTCGTTTGTGAAACTATATGTTGTTTAAGACTCAAGTTTTGTGAACTTGAGTTGAGTTGATTAAGTGAATTCATGTGAGAGAAAATACTATACAAGTTGAATTTGAATTTTTGTAAAAGGAAAAAAAAGTAAAAAAAATTTGAGTTGTGATTCGAACTTGTAATACCCCGAAGAATTAAATGGGATTAATTGAGATAATTAAGAATTATTAGTGTGCCTAATTTGATTTAATTAATTAGTTTTGATTAATAAATGTTTCTGACGTGTAATTTAAATAATTTCAAGGTATTTAAATATTCTCAGTAATTTTATTTTAACCCAGAAGTGTGTATGGACGTATTTCTGGATTGTTTTTTTTAAACGTTGATACGTATCTATTTTCTTTTCTTTTTTTCTTTTTTTTTCTTTTCTTCCTTTTCTTTCTTTTTCCCTTTTTCCTCTTGTGCCACTATCTCTCTCTCTCTCTCTCTCTCTCTCCTCTTCGTTCTCTCACTCTCTCAGTTCTCTCTCCTGTCTTATCAGTCACCTTGAAGAATTAAATGAGATTAATTGAGATAATTTCCTAAGTAAAGGCTTATCAATCACCTCTTCTATTTAAGTTAGAGTTTACCAGAAAACCTTGAAAAGCGCCAACACATAAAGACTAGGAGAGAAAGAGGTGTAATAACATTTAAATTACCTATCAATCCTTGAAAATGCTGAAAACATTCTCATCAATATCAGAATTCAAGTTTGTCTTTTCACCTTCCTTTCTATGTCACACAAAAAAGTAAAGACAACAAAGCTAAGAAAAGACGAACAAAAAGCACATACAACCAGAATGAATTACAAAGACATCTTCAATTGACTGAAGAAAAACACAACATATCCCCAAAATATTGAGTAATCATGAACTCAAACATCATATCCATGAAGCTATTCTTCTAACACTTGAAGTCACACAAGTTTGGCTAAAAAGTATCCAGGAAAAAAGGAAACTAATTTTTAAAACTGATAAAACTAACAATTAACACTCCAAATTTGGAGTGAAAAGACAATTTTTCCAATTTAGAAGAAAATTTTATATAGTAGGATTTTGACTAAAAGTTTCAGCGTATAACTCAGACGTAATAGTTTTAAAATTTCAGCATTTAATGAAAAGAATACGTTCAAATATTCATTGACGCATTTTAGGTGCATCGCATATATAATTATCTTTCAAATTAAAATTAAGAGAAGAGTACCAGATAGATAATAGCAGAGTCATTCTTGATAGCAGCTGATTCCTCCTCCTCAATCACAAAATCAATCATTTGCATGCATATACCAACCCAACTCCAATCCTTTTCACAATCGAATCACAATTCTCATCCTTTCGCGGAAAAACTCTAGCTTTGAAATAGAATGATGCCTCCACTGCATCAAGATGTCTGTTGAACAAGCTGTTAGTGACGCATCGCACGAACACATGGTCCGAACTAATATCACTACTTGTGAGTTTAGCCTCCTCCTCCTCATCATCGTGGTATATCCAGAAATCAACCCCGCTGTTGTTGTCATATTTGTGGATTCGACCGCACTTGGTTTTAAGATGTAAGTCAAACGTAAATTCTACATGCTTAGAAGAATGGGAGCCTGCGCCTACTGGGATTATATGAGCAACAATGCAAATGGCATAACCCATAAAATTAGAATTATGCCAACCATGGGGAAGCTTCATAGTTGTTGAAATCCCCTCGTCTTGATGCCTGAACCACTTTGGAATTTCATTTCCCGGATAACATACTCCAATTATAAGATAATAATTTCCTCCCTACATCACCAGACACCAATATATATGAATAATAGTGTATAAATGTTAATTACTTCAATCGTCACAAATTACGTCAAAAAAAAGAGATAGAAAATACATACGTACCAAATTCAATTTATCAACTTCGTATAAGAAATCAGTTAAAATGCTACGTGCATTCCGTCCTAGTTTCCAGCAATTTTGGAACGTAAATCTTTTGTGATTGGAAATGAAAGGGCGAATCACATGCCTAATGTTGAATCCATAGCACCCCGAACTTGATATTGTCTCCAGAGAAGTACATCCACTTGCATTAAGAAAGTTAACAGACGATGGAAGTTGTGGCAAAGATCGGAGCTTCTTGCAATTTTCAATGTAGAGTGTGTTCAGCCGATGAAGTTGTATGATGCTTGAAGGTATATTCTCAAATGGGTTCCCGCTTAGATTTAACACGGTTAACGAGGATAAAATGCTCGGCCAAACTGGAATTTCTACTATATTGCAGTTACTTAGATGTAGCCTGTCCAAAGAGAACAATAAAAATTGCTTCATTTGGAGATGTTCAGGTTCTAAACACCCGTGGCGGGACAAGAATTTTAGACAACTTAAAATAGTGTATTAATGTTAATTACTTCAATCTTCAAAAATCCCCTCGTCTTGATGCCTGAACCACTTTGGAATTTCATTTCCCGGATAACATACGTCAATTGTATGACGTCTTCCTCCCTACATCACCAGAAGCCAATATATATGAATAATAGTGTATTAATGTTAATTACTTCAATCTTCAAAAATTACTTCAAAAAAGAAAGAGAGATAGAAAATACATACGTACCAAATTCAATTTATCAACTCCGTATAAGAAATCAGTTAAAATGCTACGTGCATTTCGTCCTAGTTTCCAGCAATTTCTGAACAAAAATATTTTGAAAATTAATAGAAATTTAGGCACATCCCATATGTCGAATCCATAGCACCCCGAACTTGATATTGTCTCCAGAGAAGTACATCCACTTGCATTAAGAAAGTTAACAGACGATGGAAGTTGTGGCAAAGATCGGAGCTTCTTGCAACCGTAGATGTAGAGTGTGTTCAGCCGATGAAGTTGTATGATGCTTGATGGTATATTCTCAAATGGGTTCCCGCTTAGAATTAACATGGTTAACGAGGATAAAAGGGTCAGCCAAACTGGAATTTCTACTATATTGCAGTTATGTAGATATAGACTGTCCAAAGAGAACAATAAAAATTGCTTGACTTGGAGATGTTCTGGTTCCAAACACCCACGGCGGGACAAGAATTTTAGACAACTTAAATAATAAATCCATTTTGGGACAAACTCGAGTTTTTTGCGCGACTTTTCAATTATAACTGAGTTGCTTAACACTTGGATCCCTGTGAATTTTTTCAATCTCGAACAATCCCAAAGATAAAGGAGTTTAAGAGACTTGGATTTAAAAATGTTGGTTGGGAGACTCTCAAGCATTTTGCATCCTCCAAGATTTAATACCCTTAGACAATCAAGACCCTCAATTGATGATGAAGACACTTGTTCTATTGACGAGTCTTGCAAATTCAATATTTTCAGATTTCTCGGAAGAGAAGATGCTTGATATGTTGACAACCACGAAGGCTCAATTGCAGAAGACATTCTAATGACCCAATTGATAATGGCACTTGTTTTATTGATAAGTCGCGCAAATTTAAAACTTGTATATTTCTCGGAGGAAGAGCTGCTGGAAGATTCTTGATATGTTGACAACCACGAAGGCTCAATTCCACAAGACTTTCAAAACGCCCAATTGATAAGGGCAATTCTTTTATTGCAGTCCAGTCTAAATTCAAGTATTTCATATTCCCCGATATGTTTGGGAGTGATTTAATCTTAATGCAACCACGTAGTGTAAGAGATCCAAAACATCCTTGAAAATTAAGCGGAGGAACTTCAACTAAATTTATGCAGCCCTCAAGATTAATACTCTCTAGCTTTGGAGCTCGAGATAGATCTGGAAGTTTGATTAGTTGCTTGGAATAACCAAGATTAATACGCTTCAAATTTCCAAGATTCTACAAGAAAAAATAAATTAGTTTTGTAAGCCCCAATAAATTGATGAATAAAAATATGATTTTATGACAATTTGGATTATGAATTTCCCCATTAGTACATGTCATGATACTTTACTTGGAATAAGAATATTATTGTTATTTGATGATCAATTATGTAAGCATATCTGAATAGGCGTGTTTTTAGTTCATGAATTCTTTAGAATATCAATTTTTTAAAGATTTTCTTTCCTACTTAGTAATGTTAAGTTACAAGGATTTTTTTAAAGATTTTCTTCCCTGCTTAGTAATGTTAAGTGACAAGGATTTATTATGAATTCTAAAGATCACGCATGGTAAAACTTCAAATGTCAAGATGATAAGTGACATTAAAATGCATAAAATTCCATGAGTATTACTTAGATTCCAACTCAAGCCAAGTCTAAGGTTTGACTTAAAGTGACTGTCAGGTATTCAATTTTGTCTGTGTAGATTTTTATCAGATATGATTTACACTATTTTATGTTGGTCTACTCATCAAAATAGTTGAATTCTAACTTTTGGATTTTCTTGGTCTTACATAGTAGTGGTCCGAAAACTCAGGTCATTACAAATTTAGTAAGTAATTTGTTTTTTTAAATAAAAAACAATAGGTAATTATAAACATTTAATACATGATATTTCACTTATTAATTAATATTACGGCATACCTGTACACCGCTCCAAAGTTCCTTAAGCTCGCTACAGGGCATGTCAAGTTCAACAAGAGTTTTGCCCTTATAATTTGATGGCAAAGATTTTAATGGGTATTTATACCAGCAAAGATATCTTAGGGAAGGGGGGAGAAACTGCAGACCTTGTGTAAGATGTACTTTAAATTTATGATCATAGGAATGATTTGCAATGTATATCTTGAGCAATCTCAGTCTATGCATCTTGTTGAAAACCGTAGGTTCCAAGTGTAGATCATCATCAATCTTAGACATCTCAAGGTACATTCTTTCAATTGCTCCGGTTCCCTAGAAATTTAAAGAAATGATAAAGGAGAATATGAGTTATGAAAAATAAAAAGGAACAGTTACTAAAACTAATTACGTAGAGAGAGAGATGTTGTTCTATAGTCGCTTAGAATTTGATACTCACTCTGTTAATTTCTAGAACATTATAGACGTCTTGAGGAATCCACAACCGACTACGCCTTCCAAGATTTTTCCCCTTATAATCTGATGGCAAAGAATTTAATGGGTAGCTATACCAGCGAAGATAGCTTAGGGAAGGAGGAAGAAACTGCAGACCTTCAGTAAGATATATTTTGAATTTATGAACATCAGAATGATTTGCAATGTATATCTTGAGCAATCTCAGTCTATGCATCTCGTTGAAAACTGTAGGTTTCAAGTGTAGATCATCATCAATCATAGACATGTCAAGGTATATTCCTTCGATTGCTCTGGTTCCCTAGGAATTTAAAGAAATGATAAATGAGAATATGAGTTATGAAAAGTAAAAAGGAACAGTTACTAAAACTAATTACGTATAGAGAGAGAGAGAGAAAGATGTTGTTCTGTAGTAGCTTAATTAGAATTTGAAACTCACTCTGTTGTTTTTTAGAACATTATAGACGTCTTGAGGAATCCACAACCGGCTACGCTCACCAGGATCTTTAATAGATTGTTGGCGAACAATTTCCCAACCCATCTCTTGTATCAAATCATGCATCCGAACTTTGCCCTTAAAAATGGTAATGAGAGACTTGTTTATGAGAACTTCTATCCCCAAACTTGGAAACAAACCACAATTATCTAGTATGCTCTCTATAAAATCTCTTCTCTCCCCTTTAAGAAAACATGCAATATCAAGGAAAATATCCCGCTCCTTATCATCAAGCCCATCATAACTTATTTTCAACACCTTTTGAATGTCTGAATTGGGAATTACTTTTAGCTTATTCCATGTGTGTTCCCAATATTCTATGGCTTGAGAATGAAGGGAGGAACCTAAAATTTTCAGAGCAAGCGGATTTCCTCTGGTATAAGTTACTATTGCCTCCGACAATTCAATGAAACGTGTTATGGAGGGCTTTGTTTTAAAGGCATTCAAATAAAAGAGTTGAAGTGCTTTCTCGAAATCTAATGGCTTAACTTGGTGTATTTCGTGGGCATCCTTTTGAAGAAGTTGTGCATCTCTAGTCGTTATGATGACTTTACTTCCTGGGCCAAACCAACTGCCATCTCCTAACAAACAGTCCAACTGCCTTATATTATCAACATCATCAAAGCTGTTTACTGGAGTTTCTAGATCTCTTTCCTCCAATAGCTTTGAAAAAAGTTCGGTTTCTAGGTAAGGCAGTCCATGGTTTTTTTATTTTTCTCTAACATCCTGAAGAAAGCAGCAATTTTCAAATCGATACGAGAATCGATTGAAAATTTCAATGGCAAGAGTAGTCTTCCCGATACCACCAAGTCCCCAAAGGCCTATGACACGAGGATTTGGTCATCCAAAGCATAACAAGGATTCAATTTCCTCTAGTTGTCGATCTATTCCAACAAGGCCCTTTGTAGAAATACTAATTTGTGTCAATCGTTTTAATTTCCTCATTACATCTTTCACAATCTTCTCAATTAATTCCGACTCATACCTAACATAAATATAAAAAGAGAAATGAATTAATATGAAAAAACCACGATGAAAATAGCAAAAAAGAAAAACAAAATAAAATGTGTACTTTTTTTGTTCTTTTTTGAGAAACCAGATGTATCCTTTCATTTTACAGATTGTAATTCATTATCAGACAATTTTAGATTATATTATTGGAGCAACAATGCAAATGGCAAAACCCCTAAAATTAGAATTATGCCAACCATGGGGAAGCTTCATAGTTGTTGAAATCCCCTCGTCTTGATGCCTGAACCACTTTGGAATTTCATTTCCCGGATAACATACTCCAATTGTAAGATAATAATTTCCTCCCTACATCACCAGACACCAATATATATGAATAATATATAGTGGTGTATTAATGTTAATTACTTTAAAAAAAAAAAAAAGGAGATAGAAAATACATACGTACCGAATTCAATTTATCAACTTTGTATAAGAAATCAGTTAAAATGCTGCGTGCATTCCGTCCCAATTTCCAACAATTTATGAACAAAAAACTATTGCAACTTGAAAATTTTGGAACAATTTTGGAACAATTTCCAACATAGCAACCTGAACTTGATATTGTCTCCAGAGAAGTACATCCACTTGCATCAAGATGTCTAACAGACGATGGAAGTTGTGGCAAAGATCGGAGCTTCTTGCAACCATAGATGAAGAGTGTTTTCAGCCGATTAAGTTGTATGATGCTTGAAGGTATATTCTCAAATGGGTTCTCGCTTAGATCTAATTCAGCCAAATTGGATAAAAGGCCCAGCCAAATTGGAATTTCTACTACATTGCAGTTACGTAGATCTAGCTTGAAGAAAGAGAACAATAAAAATTGCTTCATTTGGAGATGTTCCAAACACCCGTGGCGGGACAAGAATTTTAGACAACTTAAATAATAAATCCATCTTGGGACAAAGTTGAGTTTTTTGCGCCAATTCATATCTTGACGACGGAGCCCAAAAAACTTTTCAATTATAATTGAGTTGCTTAACACTTGGATCCCTGTGAATTTTTTCAATCTCGAACAATCCCAAAGAGTAAGGGTTTGAAGAGACCTCAACTTAAAAATGTTAGTTGGGAGACTCTCAAGCATTTTGCATCCTCTAAGACGAAATGCCCTCAGACAATCAAGACCCTCAATTGAAGACGAAGACACTTGTTCTATTGATGAGTATCGCAAATTCAATATTTCTAGATTTCTCGGAAGAGCTGCTGGAAGATGCTTGATATTTTGACAACCTTCGAGGCTCAATTGCACAAGCCCTCAATTGACGATGAAGACACTTGTTCTATTGATGAGTTTCGTAAATTCAATATTTCCAGATTTCTCGGAAGAGCTGCCGGAAGATGCTTGATATGTTGACAACCTTCGAGGCTCAATTGCACAAGATTTTCTAATGACCCAATTGATAATGGCAATTCTTTTATTCCAGTCTTGTCAAAATTCAAGTATTTGATATTCCCCGATATCTTTGGAAGTGATTTAATCTTAATGCAACCACGTAGTGTAAGAGATCCAAAACATCCTTGGAAATTAAGCGGAGGAACTTCAACTAAATTTATACAACCCTCAAGATTAATACTTTCTAGCTTTGGAGCTCGAGATAGATCTGGAAGTTTGATCAGTTGTTTAGAATAACCAAGATTAATACGCTTCAAATTTTTAAGATTCTACAAGAAAAAATAAATTAATTTAGGATATAACAATAATTTTTATTATTTTACCAAAAATATGTAATATAAAGTAGGTAATCATGAACATTCTACACATGATATTCAACCTGTTAACTAATATTATAGTATACCTGTACACCAGTCCAAAGTTGCTTAAGCGCACTACAGGGCATGTCAAGCTCAACGAGATTTTCCTTCTTATAATCTGATGGAAATCGGTTTGATGGGTAGTTATACCAACACAGATATCTTAGAGAACGAGGAAGAAATTGCAAACCTTGAGTAAGGTGTACTTTGAATTTACTATGATGTGAATAATTCCAAACGTATATCAAGATATATTCCTTCAATTTCTTCGGTACCCTAGAAAATTAAAAAAAATAAATAAATGAGAATATGAAATGTGAAAAATTATGTCAGAGAGAGATGTTGTTGTAGTTTATTGTCATTAGATACTTACCTCATTGTTGTCTAAGACATGATAGACGTCTTGAGGAATCCACAACCGACTACGCCTTCCAAGATGTTTAATAGATTGTTGGCGAACAATTTCCCAACCCATCTCTTGTATCAAATCATGCATCCAAACTTTGCCCTTAATAATGGTTATGAGAGACTTGTTCATGAGAACTTCAATCCCCAAACTTGCAAACAAATCACAATTATCTAGTACGCTCACTATAAAATCTCTTGTCTCCCCTCTAAGAAAACACGCAATATCAAGGAGAATGTCTTGTTGCTTATCATCTAGCCCATCATAACTTATTTTCAACACCTTTTGAATTTTTGGATCGGGAATTAATTTTAGTTTGTTCAATGTATTAACCCAATATTCTACGGTTTGAGAATGAAGGGAGGAACCTAAAACTTTAAGAGCAAGCGGATTGCGACCAGTATAATTTACTAACTCTCTTGACAGCTCCGAAAATGTCGTGGAAGGCTTTGTTCTAAAGGCATTGAACTGAAAGAGTTGAAGTGCTTTCTCAAAATTTAATGGTTTAACTTCATATACTTCCTTGTCAGCACTCAAAATAACTTGTTTGTCTCTTGTTGTTATGATGATTTTACTTCCCTCACCAAACCAACTACCATCTCCAATCAATTTCTCCAGCTGGTCTATATCATCAATATCATCAAGAACAATGAGTACTTTATTACCTATGAGTCTATTTCTCACAAAGTGGTCGACTGTTTCTAGATTTCTTAGATCCAATAGCGTTGAAAACAATTTGATTTCTAGATGAGCCAGTCCATATTTCTGCGAATTTTCTCTAACATTTTCAAGAAAGCAGCGACTTTTAAATTGATAAAAGTACCGATTGAAAATGGCACGAGCCAAAGTAGTCTTGCCTATACCACCCATCCCCCAAAGGCCTATGCCACGAGGATTTGGTTTGCACAGCAATGATTCAATTTCCTCAAGGCGTTCACCTATTCCAACAAGACCCTTAGAATCCATAGCAATTTGTGGCAAACGATTTAATTTTCTCCATACATCTTCCACAATCTTCTCAATTAATTCTGATTCATACCTAACATAAATAGAAGAGAACTATATATTAATGCAAAAGAAGCATTACAAAATTAACAAAGAAAAAGCTTGATAAAGGAAGCATCTACATCTCCATCTAGTGAAACTTTCTAATTAAGACGTTTTTTTCAATTTACATTCCAGAACCCAAATAATCAGACATGACTTTGTGATTCTACTCAGAGAGAGAGAGAGAGGACAACCAGTCGAAGCAAAAGGAAAAGAAAAGAAGCAATCACTCATCTTGTGAATGAAAGCCAGATAGATCAGCAGCAGCAGTCAAAGCATCCCTCCACTCCTTCACTTTGTTCGGCTCAAAACATTCTTCGTGTGCGGCAAAAGCAATAGCATAACTCCCCGTCAGTTTTTTAATATCCGATGGATCGATGTTGTAAAAGACGGGTAAAACAATCTGACCTCTTTCATTCTTGCATCTGAGAATGTGCACGAGCTCATCCAAGCACCATCTAGAAGAAGCATACTCTTTCGAGAAGACGACCATTGAAATCTTCGATTTCTCAATTGCTCTCGAAAGTGCAGGCGAAATTTCTTCTCCTCTCTCGAGATTCGGATAATCTCTGTAGGTCCGAATGCCTTTCCGGCATAAGGCAGAGTAAAGATGACTAGTAAAGTTCTTACGAGTGTCTCCTCTAAAACTGATGAAGACTTCATTGTTGATCACGACAGAAGAAGAAGAAGAAGAAGAAGCAACAATGGCCATATCGTTGAGAGGAAAAGAATTAGAAAAGGATTTCTTCACTCTTTTGCTGTGAAAGAAAGAAAGATGAATATTTAGAACTGCATGACCAAGTGGTTTAGCAATTTCCTGGAAGGTAGAAAGAAGAAGAAAAAGAAGACCATCTATGTCAAAAGAAGAAGAAGAAAAAGAAAGGTAAGTGTACATCTTTAAATTATTATTTTTATTATTAAGAAAAAAAAACACTATTAATAGGCATTTAGGTACAATTCTGAACCGTCAAATTTCTATCTATTAAACACTATTAGTAGGGGAACTCCAATAGTTAATGCTTTTTATCCTATTGGGACAATTAGTACAACTCATACCACAATGACTCGTATTTCTATACACTAATGCCACCCAGCTATAATACATTTCCAAATATATTTATATATGTGCACTAATTGAACTCCACGTACTATATAAGAATAATTCGTGTATTAAGTTTTAATTATCGTATTATTATTAACAGTACATTATATTTGAATATAAAATCTCAAAAAAGAAACTAAAATGCAATAAATAAATAAATAAAGTTTACTTTTAGGGCAAGCCAAAAAAAGATAAGATTAAAGTGAAAAAATAAATAAATTTTACAAAATTCTGAGCGCTTTGCATACTCCTCAGTAAATCTATAGTCTCGTTAATTTCACCGATTTGAGTTTTCAGTTTTAAATTTTTACAGTAAAAAGCTCTCAGAAAAGATCACATTTTACTTTTTCTGCTACAGTGAAAAACTCTCAGAAAATGTCACATCTCAACTCAAATTAAAAACTCAAATCCGCGAAATGAACGAGGCCTGTATATAAAAATGTCAACACTAAATCAGAAGAATAACCCAAACTTGTACAGAAGAACGACCCAAACTTCAAAAACATAAATTAGGGAACAACACTATGAGAGGGAAGAATTCTTGCCGATCTCCACTATGCGCGATCTCTGCACGTTTACACTGAGAGTTCATCGGGTGAGATTTCTTTTGGCTCACTAAATGGCCCTTGGAGTGAGAATTGTGAGAGAGCAACAGGCTGCAGGCATTTTCTTCTTTCTTCTCGGTCTTTGTGCGCAGGATTCAATATTTTTTCTTTTAATATTTTAAGTCAATAATATGGGAATTTGGGGGGAAGCCATTTTCAGTACCCACCAAAAGATTCCATGAATTTCTAATATATATAGATGGAAAACTTTAATCCACCTATTAATGATTAAAATAAAATTTTTTACTTCTATTTTAAAGCTACATTAATATTAAATATATGGTAAAATAGTCATTGAGCTTATTAATATTTTCTTTTCTCTCATCATATCAAACAATATAAAAAAAATTAATCACTTTTCTTTTCTTCAAAATTTCTTTTTTTCATGTGTTATATTTACAGTTTCTTTTTTTCATGTCTTTTCTTTTCTTTTTTCATGTGTTTTATTTGTTGTTGTGTTATATTTACATTCTCTTTTCTTTCCCTCGTAACAAACAAAATGTAAAGGCCGGTACTTATAATGAAAAACATATTTAACTTACCACGTTGTTTGTATACATATTTAAAACAAAATGTACACGTTGTTTGTATACATATTTAACTTTAAATTTTGTCTTTATCATGAAAAACAAAAAACTTCAAATTTTTTCATTTTATACTTATTATTTTATCTCTGCACTAAAGAACAAACGTTGACCTAGAAAGCTCGTGAAGCATGTCGTAAATGGATAAGTACGCATACCTAACCTTACCACGTGCAAGCTTATTGGTACAAGTTATATATATTTTAGTTAATAGAATATTTTGGGGTTATAATTGACAAAATTTAATAAGAATGTTAATAACAATGTTCTACTTGGGCAAAGAGAGAAGAAAAATTGAAGAAAAATGAAGTAAGGCATACCTTGGTATCTTCAATCTTTTTTCTTTTAATATGGGAATTTGGGAATTTGGGGAAAGCCATTTTCAGTACCCGCCAAAAGATTTCATGAATTTATAATATATATATATATATATATATATCATAATTATTTTTGAACGCTATTAAGTACATACAAAATAACATTTTTTCATAAACGTTATCAAAAAGCTTGTCTGTTGTAGTGTAGCATGATGGAGAACTCTCGATGTCCCTCTTTGCAACTTTTGAAAAAGTTGCAGTTGCAGCAATCGGCTTCTCTAGCACGGGCAAGTAGATGCAGAAAAACTCGAAGAGAAAAAAGAACAATTAAAAGTAAACGAGAAAAAAATATAATCTAGGCTAATATTTTTTTCTAATTTTTTTTCTTATGAGATATTTAATCTAGTGTAACATGGTTAAATTGCATGTGGAAGGACAGAGAGAAAGACAGAGAAAAGGGAGAGAGGATCCCAGTCCGATTTTAATGGATTTTGAGAGTATTTTTATGCCATGAGATTATGAGAAAATTTATAAAGTTCATCACATGCATACAACTCATAAATGTTTCTTTTTTTCCCCCCTTAAGTATTGATATTTCCTCAACTTCTGTGGACAAGATCTCACTAGACAAACTAATAGATTGACCGTATTAAATAATTAATAAAACAACTTTTTTATTTTTATTTTTATTTTAAATTAGTATTAAATAATTAATAAAATAGTCATCGAGCCTATTAAGATTTTCTTTTCTTTTATTATACTAAACAACACAAAAAATAATCAACTTTTTTTTCTTCACATTTTTTTTTTGTGTTTTATTTACATTCATGTAGGTAACTCCACTACCGATAGGAACGCATCAAGGCCACTACTTATAATAATTGTACACGTTGTTTGTATACATATTTAACTTCAAATTTTGTCTTTATCATGAAAAAACAAAAACTTCAAATTTTTTTCATTTTATAATCTTGTTATTTTATCTCTACACTAAAGAACAAACGTTGACCTAGAAAGCTCATGAAGCATGTCGTAAATGGATAAGTACGCATACCTAACCTTGCCACGTGATGCTGCAAGCTTATTGGTACAAGTTATATATATTTTAGTAATTGACAAAATATATTTAATAAGAATGTTACTAACAATGTTCTACTTGGGCAAAGAGAGAAGAAAATTTGAAGAAAAATGAAGTAGTGTTTTACTTTGTGGTCCGAGACACAATGCTATTTCAATTGCTATCAATTTTAGTTTTAATACTTGTAAAAGCTGAATTTTTTTTTATTTTCAAATAAGTTTGAAATAGAAAGGTAATAACTATTAAGTATAGTTACAAACATCAGTACATCAATCAATAAGCAACAAAATAGCAAACTTGAACAAATTCTTAATTTTAAGCTAAATTTACATCAAGTATATATAAAATATGTTAAATTTAACATGAAATATGGACTACATTAGAGAATGATTTCTTATCCAAATGCTAATTTTGTTTTACCTGAGTGTTTTTTTTTTTTTTTACCGAACTGCTAAATTTATTGCTTTGCATGCGAATAGTTATAATAAAAAACTATTTAAAAACCTGTATCTAAGAAAAGTAACAAAGAATAACTCAATATAGTAATCTGTATTAATATAGTAATCTATAGTAATATAGTAATTTATTCAACTTTAATAAAGAAGTCCATATAGTCTAACAAAACGTTTCATTACTTTTTTTTCCTGATAAGGAAAAGGATTCGATGTGTTAATGTTCTTTAAATCGCTACGTGTAATCACTGATTGGTAAGCTTCGTTAGTCAAATTTACATGGTGGCTTGCAATTCGTTGTATCATTTCAGTTGCCACTGTTAGCATGCTATTAATTGGCTAAAAAAATAAGAAAAAGGCTCACATGAACGTGCGCGGATGGCGGACCTCACTAAATGGCCCTTTGAGTGAGAATTGTGAGAGCAATAGGCTGCAGGCATTTTCTTCTTTCTTCTTGTTCTTTGTGCGCAAGATTCAATATTTTTTTCTTTTACTGATTCATGAATTTCTAATATATATATATATAAATATAGATCATAATTATTTTTGAACGCTATTAAGTATATGTAAAATAACACTTTTTTCATAAACGTTATCAAAAAGCTTGTCTATTGTAGTGTAGCATGTAGTTTTTCAAAATTTTTCTTATGTGGCCTCTAGATGTTTGAAAGTTTGTTTTATTGCATTTAGTTTTTTAAGAATTTTTTATATACGCCTTCTCATTAATAAGATCTTATACATAGCTCCTCATTAACAAAATTTTTCTCTAATTTATTTCTATTAATTTTTTTTAATTATGTCTTTCCTAAATTTTTTTCTTTCTTATTTATTTGCTCATGTTGAAGTAATTTTTTTCTTTTTTAAATGTATCTCTACTTAAATATTGTTGTTCATACGTTTTTATAGTTTTTGAACAAAATATCTTTAAAAATGTGGCATATTATGAACTTTTTATCCAAATTGCCGAACAGAAATAATTTTTAATATATCTCTACTTAAACTTTTTTTTCTTGCATCCTTTTCATATATTATTTTTTCTTACGTACCCATTAAATAATTTATTTTCAAAATTCTCACATCAGTATAATTTTCATTAAGTGTTCTCCTTTATTTTTTCACTAAAGTATATGCATAAGAGAATAATAAATCAAGTTAAAATTGAACTTTTATGAAAATTCTACTATTATATAGAAAAAGATTCAACAAATTGAATATTTATACCATTCCAACTATGTAATATTATTAAGAGTTGATAAGGCTTTTCACATTTTTAGCTTACGCCACCTAACAAACACTTTCCTAAGTTGAGGCTTATCAGTCAACTCTTCTATTTAAGTTATAGTTTACCAGAAAACTTTGAAAGGCGCCAACACATGAAGACTAGGAGCTGAGAAAGAGGTGCGATAACATTTAAATTACCTATCAATCATTGAAAATGTTGAAAACATTCTCTCCAACTTCAGAATTCAAGTTTGCCTTTTCACCTTCTTTTATGTGCAACACAAAAGGGTAAAGACAGCAAAGCTAAGAGGATAGGAAAGGACGGATACAACCAGAATGAATTATAAAGACATTTTCAAGGGACTGAAGAAAACACAACACATCCCCAAAACATTGAGCAATGAATTCCAACATCATATCCACGAA